TGGTCACGTTGGCGGGTCGTGACATTCTCCCCCACCTATGCTCGCGACGCCCTCGTCGCGTCTCCTTCTTTGAAGTCGCAGGTTCTCTCCTTGACTTGCGCCTTCTTGGTTTTCCTTTGTTCACCGTTGGCACCATGTGAGGACCCCCGTCCATAATGCACCAAGTGTTGTCACGAGGCAACATCGCCATGTTGAACTCTCGCGGTAATTCGATCTCCAACACCACGCCATGGTCATTGACTTCTTCGCGCCACTCACCAAGGTGCAACTCAACCCCTTGAGCCAAGCCCTCCACGGACTTTACCTTGGTGTTTTCCACCTTCATCAATCCTTGACCCCCGTCAAGGTTCGGATCAACCCGCTTGGCCTCTTCCGCATTGATGAAGTGGTGCGATGCCCCGGTGTCGACCATGACTTGGGTTGCCTCCCTATCGACCTTGCCCTCTACATACATCAAACCCTTATCCCCTTGGGTTGATGCCGTAGGCTTCGCTTCAAGCAGCTGCAGATATCCCATGCAAGACTGCTCTTCCCTTTCTTGCTCCTCCAGCTTTGCAATGAGACTCCTCCTCTTAGGACAATCCCTTGCCCAATGTAGCTCATCGCAAAGGAAGCAGTTATCCCTTGGCTTCATATCCTTAACCCGCATTGCCCATTTGCCCAAGCCAGCAGCAATCTCCCCTCCGCGGTGCTCCTCCGTGTGCGTGACTCCCGACATAGTGCCCTTCCTTCCTTAGTCACGACGCCTTCGCAACCCGCTCTGATACCAACTGTCACGGCCTTGGAATTTCTGAACCAACCCTCAGTCTTTCCAAGCCAACCGTGCGGCCTTAGATGCTTGTAACACGCGTTGCTCGCACCTAAGTAAGCCTTTTGTGGAAGGGAGCTAGGGGAATGCACACACACAAGAGAGAGACTTGGAGAATATTAGCTTTGTATTACACTTGAGAGAAAGCTTACAATTCTTGGATACTTGGTTTTTGGTTCTTACATAGGTTGGTTTGGCCAAATGAGGGCCTCCCCTTTATATAGCCTTACATAGAATATTCTAGAGCTACTATGGTGGAGAGTGTTCTAGACACTTCCACCTATTACATCCAATAGACTATTCTAGAACTATATGGATGGAGGGGATTCTAGATCCT